CGTTTGGTGATGTACTCTTTTTGTGCTATTGTTCTTAAAACTGTTCCTTGCAAGACTTCAAACAAAGTGCAAGTGTATATGCTTGATTCGGGCTGGTATGCCCGCTGCCGTATGCACTCCTCATCTGGGTCAGCTGGAGGGTAATCATGTTGCTTTACCATGCAAAACTACAACAAGTGTCAATGTTGTTACATACCCTTCATCAATCTCCTCCAGGTCCAGAAACTGACATCACTCGACGTGCCAGCTAACCACCTGTCTGGCGAGAGCGACAACGCCAGCGTGTACGCTGACCTGAGGTCACCACGGCCACAGCTGCGGCTGCTTTACGTGACGCCCGAGAAGGTCAGTGCCAGCACCCGGCTACTCGAAGTGTTGCAGCGATTGCACACCAACGGGCACCTCACGCGTTTCGTCATCGACGAGGCACACTGCGTGAGCCAGTGGGGCCACGACTTCCGGCCCGACTACAAGCGACTGAGCGTGTTGCGCGAGAAGTTTCCAGGCGTCCCCATGGTGGCACTGACTGCGACAGCGACACCACGGGTGCGCACGGACATTCTTCACCAGCTGGGGATGCGGGACCCCAAGTGGTTCTTGCAAAGCTTCAACCGGCCAAACCTGTGCTACGAGGTCAGCCTCAAGACAGGCAAGTCGGTGGTCCACGACATCGTCGAGGTCATCAAGAAAAAGTTCAAGCGGCAGAGCGGCATCGTCTACTGCTTTTCGAGGAAGGAGTGCGACCAGCTCGCGGACGACCTCAGCAAGGAAGGTATCGCATCCGTGTCTTATCACGCAGGGCTCACCGACAGTCGACGGAGTGTTGTCCAGCGTCAGTGGATCGATGACAAGGTCCAGGTAAGTTTGCTCTGAACAGGGGTTCACATCAGCATCAAGGTAACTGTATGCTGTACTGTACAGTGTCCAGTACAGCGTCCAGGATGAAAGGCCTCCAAAATAGGCTTAAAAGCATGCATTGACCGTCACATTCGATAGAAGGCAGTACGATAATCTGATACTTATATGCAACTAGCATAATGCAGTACAACTATGCAAAAAGGTAATGCAACGATAACAGTGTGCAAAGAAAAATGTGTACTCCCTGTTTGACTTATTATAAAAGTGCAATGTTCCAACAAAAGCAAAAATTCAGTCATGACAGAGGAATTGTTGAGTGAAGTGTACAATGTGCTTCGATTAATGTAAAATTCGTGGGTGCATCCTTACATCAGCATACTTGAGTTTAATCTACTTCGACGACTGCTTTCTGTACTCAGGGACAGCACGTCGTGCTTTTTTAGTGTGAAATGACACCAAAAGAAAGAAAACAAGAAAAGTTCTTTTGTCCTGTCCTGTTTTTTTTTTTTTTTTTGAGGTGTCGTTTTGCATTGAAAAAGCGCAATGGATTCACATCAGCCAGCCCACCAATACATTGCGTTGGACAGTTCGTCTCGGCAGCAGAGCGAAAGCTGCAGAGGCGGGCTATCTACACATTTGGGTTAGTCTGCGAGTAGAGTAGTATGGCAGCTTGTGGCTGATTTCAGTTCCAGTTTCGGTTTTTCTTGTTCGCTGCGTTAACACTTCTCGAGAAACATATGTACGAAAGATCTGAATGGGAGCGAGAGTAAAGTGAATGGAAAGATAACTTGCCGCTGGCATGAACTGGATTTGCAACCTTAAAATCTAAATTTCAAGGTTGTAGGCTTGGTTCCCACGGGTGACAAGTTATCTTTTTGTCCACTTCACTTTTTTCACATTTCTATTATAATTATACTACAAATAACACCTCTATACCTTCCTCAGCAGAATTGTCTGTTCTCTGTGCGCGCCTGTGCTGCCTAATGTGCGGTGTTTATCTCTCTTCCCTCTCTCCTCTCTATCTTTCATCTCCCCCATCCCCCCCATGCACAGGGTAACAAACCGGCAGCCTATAGGCTGGTTAACCTCCCCGCCGTTCTTTTCCTCCTGTTTTCCTTCCTTGTCTGTTCTCATTAACATTGTGTCTAACAAAGGAAAATGAGCCCTTCAGATTCCTCTTTTCTCCTTGATTTTGTGTGTTCTGTTTCACATAAACAGATCGCAAATCTCACCAACATGCTTGGCATTCTCTACATACATTCTGTTTTATACTCGTATTTTCCTTGTGCATGTGTCTAATTGAAACACCTCGAAATCATTCCTCTTTCGGTTCTACACATGGACTACAGATAATTTGTCCTCTGCTGCGCTAGTGTTGATGATGTCTGAAATACCCGCGTTGCAGGTGGTGTGTGCGACCATCGCCTTCGGTATGGGAGTGGACAAACCGGACGTCCGCTTTGTCATTCACCACACGCTGCCCAAGTCTATTGAGGGCTACTACCAGGAGTCAGGCCGTGCGGGGCGTGACGGCCAGCGTGCCTCCTGCATCCTCTTCTACAACTACCATGACATGCACCGTATCCGCTCCATGATCGACAAGGACTCCATGGCCAACGCGGCGGCCAAGCAGACGCACATCGCCAACTTGTGGCACATGGTCAACTTCTGCGAGAACCGAACTGACTGCCGCAGGGCGCAGGTGTGACGAAATTTCCCTGTCTTTCACACCGTGCATATCGATCGATTGTGCGTACTTATACAATCGAACCTCTATATAATGCACCCAGATATATTGAAATATCGGTTATAGTGAAGTAGATGAAGAATAGTCTTGCAATAAATAAAGCATTTGGAATATACCTTTATAACAAATTTTCGGATATAACGAACTTATTTTCGTGTAAGATGCAATTTTGTTATATTAAAGTTAGAGTGTAGTTTGTTACAACCTTAGGGCGAACACAAGCTCCACCCACCACATCACTTTCCTGCTTAAAGAAAATTTTCATAGACGTTCCGTCCAATCGTACTTGCTCATTGCTTTAGCGTTTCTCGAGAATTTTCTCGAGACTGTACATTTGCAACCCTAGTAGAGCCTCGAAGGCAGCTTTGCAACAATATGAGTGTGTGATGGAGTGAAGCATACTAAAAACTTGAAGGGGCCACTGTCAATAGGACGTTCACTGTGTTTGTCTTCAGGAAGCTCGAATAGTAAAATTCCTGTGCTAATCGACTCAAATGGCAAACATAATCTGAAAAGAATATTCAAAATCTCGCATATTCGCTCACCCCTACGTTACAAGAATGAGCAAACCTTATACCTTTGTAGATGTTGCTTTTGCATTGAAGACATGGACAGCCCGAAGGTCGTTTGACTCGCTGCGGCAGTCGTGTTGTTTCCTTGCATTGGCGTTTGTTGAGTTAATCTATGTTCTTGGAGGGGGCTGCATATTTCAGACACGAACTCGTACTTTGACCTGCTCGGTGTGGTCACACATGCTGTGTCATTACAGGGGGTAGTAGACACCTCATACCTTTGTAGGCGTTGTGTTTGTTTGGAAACCATAGATACCGTGGAGGTCGTGTTTCCTTACGCCGGATTTTGTTACGTTGTGCCATGTTCAAGGCTAAAGGAGTGAGCTGCCAGCCTTGCTTCATATAACATTCGATTTTATTGCTTTCATATTCATTGCTTTGACCTTCCTGTGAAACTGCCACGTTAGTTTTTCTCTCACCTTGCTAAACTTGTGAACACTTCCTTTTTCTCATCACTTTAACACTTCAGTACCGAACTTCGTTGTGACACTCTTGTTGAGAAAAGTTCCATCGAAGTTTTATCTGTTCTTTCAGGTTTTGCATTATTTCGGCGAGAATTTCGACCGCCAGTTCTGCAAACAGAACCGACGCTTTGCTTGTGACAACTGCCTGGCAGAGACGCGCTGGGTCATGATGGATGTCACTGATGATGCGCGAGAAGTGGCCCGATGCGTGCAGGACCTGAATGCCAAACGTGTCAACATCACAGTGAATCAGGTATGCGTCCTAAAAAGGGTTTCTACACTTCATTAATTTCTTTCACTGTAATTATTTCATTAATTTAGGACAGAATAACAGTTTATGAGTAGAGTATGATGCAATCCTGCGTTTAAAGTACATTGAAGACGTCAGTGCACAGGTCCATGGATATTCAATCTAGTGAAAGTTTAATTTTATTTTCTGTGGCCCTGTAATATAAGTGATAACCAAAGAGATGCTATATATCATGCCGCAACTGGTTCGACGATAGTTATAGCGCGAGAACAAAACGACGACACTGAGACAAAAGGACACGAAAGACACGAGCGCTATAGCGCTCGTGTCTTTCGTGTCTTTCGTGTTGTGGCTTGTACCTATCGGTTAATAAGGCGCATTCAGTATGCTTGATCTCCCATTCATGTTTCTCTCTGAAAAGGTTCACAGATCTTTAACCTTGTAGAAGTTTTCATTTGTATAATATTAGGCATAGATACTGGCAAAGTTCTTCAAATGAAGGTGTGCTAATCTAGCATTTTGAGGACGATGCAGTTGAGCTGTAATACAGCAGATGTAAGCATAACGAATGAGAGACAACCTCACCACTGTTAGAGTATAATGTATAGTATGTGTTTTGTAACAAATTAAACAAATCTGGCTTTGCATCGCATGTGACTTTGTTAGTGCATAATGATGCTTGGCTGTTTTTGTACAAACACATTGTGGCCTGCTTGCAAGTGCTCATGGAGACTGTACACCCCCTCTTCGCAATTCTCGTGCAGCTCGTGGACATCTTCAAAGGGGCGATGAACAAGAAGATGAAAGAGCAGAAGTTGGACGCTCTGCCACTCCACGGCCGTGGAAAGGCCTACCAGCGTAACGATGCCAACCGGTTGGTTCGACGACTGGTCCTCGACGGCTACCTCAAGGAGGTTGTTGCCTGTCACATTGCCTGTCACATTGCCTTGCTCTGCCCTCAGCTGCACGACACATCATCACACGGTGCATCATGACATGGCGCGTTATTGCTCGACGTATTGTCCACGCAAGGCATTATCGATACAATACATTAACACGTGATGAATTGTCCACACGATCACTTTCGTAAGTGGCGTTATCATATGACACATTATTGCACGACACATTATCACAGGACCCATCATCACAAGCTGCGTTATTACATGGCATGTTATCGCATGATACATTGTTGTACATCACATTATTGCATGACGCATTATCGTTCAACACATTATTGCACGATGCATTATTTGCATTATCACACTACACACAATTGCACGATGCATTATCATACAATGCATAATCACATGATGCATAATCGCACGACGCATAATCTCAAGAAGCATTATTGCAAGACGAATCACTGTATGATGACTTATCGCACTGTCTTTCATTGCCATTACCGAATGGCAAAGTGTTGCATTACGAATGTCCTGACTGCCAGATTGTCTACATGATACGCTTATGGAAGATCTGTTGAATATTTACTAGCACTTTGCACAACTTCATTTCCTGAAGAGAAGGATAAACACTGCCTGCATTTCATACATAACTTGCTTGGCAACACAGGTGGTGAGTAACTGCCAAAGCTGGCCTATTCCATTTGCTCGGAGTGATATCTCAAGGGGGAAAAAGGAAAGGCAAAGTTTGAAAGGAAGCCGTTTTCAGTGAAATCGAATGGCATCAGAAAAGAGACGTAACGTCACTAACACGGTGAAGAGACACGGCATTAAGTAAACTGTGCCGTGGTGTTGCAGCCATGATAAGCCGGAAATGCAGAACTCTGAGACAAAGATGTTTTAGGCAGGGCCAAAATGCATGCACAGAAGGATAAGCAGAGCAACATTAGCAATTTCAATGACATCTTTTCAGCGGGCTTGTGCTTTGAACTGTATTGTTTGCGTATAAGTCACCCATCCTTGAGCAAAAGTTAAGTCAAACAAGACACTAAAGTTCTACATGTAATTACGCACAAGATTAGAAAGGCCGTACGCAGTAAGTCCTGTGGAAAAGTGCGCATTCAAAAGAGTATGATGGTCAGTTTAATCTATGAGAATATTTATATTGCAGGAACTTGCAGCACTTTTCGCTCAATGCCTCGAAACATTGAGAGTGCCAGTAAACTGAAAAAGTGCCAGCATTACATTGACAAGAAAGCAGATATTAACAATTAAATAATGGTCCTTCAATATACAAAATATTTAGAAAGGTAACTTGAAACAGGATAAAAGAAATACTAGAATAACTGACCTAGAAGTCAGGCCTTAAAGGATAGCAAAGAAGCATGAAAAGAAATTATGGATCTCACAGCATGAAGTCAAATGGAAGATGTTAGGTAAAAACTAAGCGAGTCTAAGACAGAAGAATGAGTCTCAAAACAAACTGTGCATCGGATGCTCTGTTTACATTAAGCTAAACAAATGGACGTGGTATGGCTGCCTAAATGTGCAGCACAGGTAAGCAGTGTTCAGTTCGAGAGATGCAGTGAATGCCAATAGATGGTAAACACTGCCGAGTACGGCAGGTCAATAGGCGGGGGAATGAATTTAAGATATTTTACGGCCTAGAATGAAATCCACTTGCACAGGACAGGCCAATTGGAGACCGCTGAGAGAGGCCCTTGCCTTGCACTGAACATAGAATGGGCTGATGGGCACGATTGCATGTATTCCAACGTGTATTTTTTACACGAAAAAGCTTAAGAAGAAACTCGCTGGCAAATGCTGTACATGACTTTTGTCATACTACAGCATGGAAGGTATTCACGAATTTCGCGAAATCTCCAGGGTGTCAAGTTTGCCTTTATAAGTAACGCGACAATCGCAAAACATGCCGGATAAGCGAAACACGACTAAAGGCTTAGTCAGTCAGAAGATTATTTGATTAACTGCGGCACTTGGTTGCGTCCTTGAACAGTGCGACAACAACATTGACAAGTGAATGAACTGGTGATGCAAGCACAGTATGATGCCATTCTCTAATGGGAGTCAATTTACACTCTAGGAGATCACCATGAACTACCTCGAGATGGCCATGTCCTACCTGAGACCCGGTGGCAAGCTTTCCCAACTTCTGTCCGGCCCGGCGCGCATAACTCTCTCCATCGAGAAGAAGTCGCGGCCCTCGGAGTCGGCCGTGCGTGTCGAGGAATCCGCGGCGGAGCCGAGCCGCGCCAACCCGGAGATCACGAAGCTCACCGAGGCGTGCCACCTGGAGCTGGTGTCCATCGTGAAGGCACTGGCGCTGGCCAAGAACACTCACTACAGCAACGTGATTCACATCGACGCGCTGCGCGGAATTGCCGAAAACCTGCCGACGACGGCGGAGGCCATGTTGCAGGTTCCGCACATGACCAAGGCTCTGGTTGACAAAGTAAGCCTCCCAAAAATCTTTGTTGCTAGAAAATTTTGTGAAGTATTCTGTATATTCTTTTAAAGAGGGAACTCGCACAATGCTTGTGTGTGTTCCGCGCCCGTGCTATGTCAAATTTTTGTGCCTTTGAATACACTGTGTAGTAAGATGAGCGTTGTAGGGTATCTTGTGTCGGGTGTTTATCCTGCCCATAGAGCTGCCTACGAAAGCTGCTAGCATGACACTTTGTCCAGTGCGCATTTATATAAGCTCTTTGTTGCAGTTAGTCCAAGGTTCAGTGAAAACTCATCAGGCAAGTTTGATTCATTGACAAAATAAAACAGGCACTTGCCTTCTTCAAAAGGAAATAAATGGAGATTTATTGAGCAGAAAGGTTGATGCTTGGAAGGCTTGGAAGGCGATGCACCAGCCGCAATTCATGAGCTCGAGCTGCTGCTGCACTCTCGATGCTGCTGCCTCTGATCCGGAGAACTTCCTCTTCTTTACAATGGCCCCGCGGAAAAGAAGGAGCCATCCTGGCGACTTAGTCCTGTGCAGGCGATGTTGTACCGTGGTACTGCTTGAGCCTCTGGACGTGTAAAACCTCGCGGTTGCGACGTCGCAAGTCTGACGGTGGCGTAAGAAGCTCAATGAGGTAATTTACTGGCGAAGTTTGTACGAGAATACGATATGGCCCATCGTACTTTGGCAGAAGTTTGGAAGAGAGCCCAGGTGTGCGATGCGGCACTGACAGCCACACAAGGGCACCCGGAAGAAAAACGGGAGTTGAGGTCTGGGCATCATGAATTGCTTTTTGCCGGTTTTGGTCATCGCAGGTAAAGCGACGAGGTTACTGGCGACATTCTTCTGCGTGTCTGGCGGCATCCAAGATAGGTAGGCACTCGGACGCGTCTGGTCGATAGGGCAGAATGGTGTCAATGGTGTGGGAGGGGTGACGGCCGTATAGGAGGTAAAAAGAGGAGAAGCCTGTTGTCGCTTGCGTTGCCGTATTGTAGGCGTATGTAATGAATGGGAGAACTAAGTCCCAGTTAGAGTGATCAGGCGTCACATACATAGATAGCTTGTCACCGAGAGTACAATTAAAGCGCTCGGTAGCCCCATTGGTTTGAGGGTGGTAAGCGGTACATGTGCGATGTACAATAGCACACTCAGCGAGCAATTTTTCAATGACCTCGGACAAGAAGGCGCGGCCACGGTCACTGAGGAGTTCTTGAGGGCCTCCATGACGCAACTCAAAATGACGCAGTAGGAAAGTGGCAACCTCCTGTGCTATAGCCGTTTGAAGAGCAGCGGTCTCAGAATAGCGCGTTAGGTGGTCGATAGCAACTATTATCCACCTGTTGCCAGTCGGAGTCAATGGAAGGGGCCCATACATATCTATTCCGACCCGTTCGAAGGGTCGGGAAGGGCATGGTAAATAAAGGCTGCAGTTCACCGGAGGAGGCGTGTGGTGGAGATTTTCGGCGCTGACATTCGGCACAAGAGCGGACGAAGGTATACATACCACGCCAGTAGTAACCATGTCGAAGCCTTTCGTAGGTCTTGAAGACTCCTGCGCAGCCACATTGTGGATCAGCGTGGCAAGAGGAAGAAATCTGTGACCTCAGGGTTCGTGGAACGACGAACAGCCACTTGCATCCCTCTGGTGCGTAGTTGCGTCGATAGAGAAGCATGTCACGTATCGAGAAGTGTGGAACTCGGCGCCGGTGCGTTCGCGTCTTTGGGAGTTCAGAAGTGTCGGAGAGATGATTAAGAAGAGACGCAGTCCACGGGTCATTGCGTTGTTCGATAGCAATGGTGTCAAAGTCAAGAGATGACAATGTGGAATCGCAGGCGGAGTCAACTGTGGCATTCTGAGACAGGGGGGAATGGGAGAGGGCATTGGCGTCAGCATGCTTCCGTCTTGACCTATAAACCACACGTATGTCATAATCTTGAATTTTCAACGCCCAGCGAGCGAGGCGGCCAGATGGGTCTTTTAACGTTGAAAGCCAGCACAGCGCGTGGTGGTCGGTCACGACGTCAAAAGAACGACCATATAGATATGGGTGAAACTTTCCAAAGGCCCACACAATGGGCAAGCACTCCTTTTCTGTGACGCTGTAATTGCTGTCAGCCTTGGTAAGTGTGCGACTAGCGTATGCCACAACGTATTCCTGATGCTCCGGTTTACGCTGTGCGAGCACAGCACCCAGACCTACACCACTGGCGTCGGTGTGGATTTCAGTTGGAGCTTCAGGATCGAAATGGCGTAGAATAGGTGGCGTCGTGAGAAGCTGCCGCAAGGTGGTGAAAGCCTCGTCGCAGTCAGGGGACCACGATAAGAGGTCTTTACAGTTGCTGAGGAGTTGCGTGAGAGGTGATATAATAGACGCGAAGTTTCGGACGAATCGCCGGAAGTACGAACACAAGCCGATGAAACTTCGAAGTTCTTTGATGGTGGCAGGTTTAGGAAACGCCGTAACAGCTCGCAATGTCTTGGGATCTGGGAGGATGCCTTCTTTGAAAACAACGTGGCCCAAAATGTTCAGTTGACGCATGGCAAATCGACATTTTTTAAGGTTTAACTGCAAACCGATGTTAGTCAAGCAAGTAAGGACGTCCTGAAGGCGGCGTAAGTGGGTGTCGAAGTTAGGGGCGAAGACCACGATATCATTGAGGAAACACAAGCATATCTTCCATTTTAGTCCACGCATGATGTTGTCCATCATTCTTTCGAACGTTGCAGGTGCATTGCAAAGTCCGAAGGGCATGACGGTGAATTCATATAAACCGTCTGGCGTGACAAAAGCGGTTTCGGGGCGATCGGCCTCCGCCATCGGCACCTGCCAGTAGCCTGACCGCAAGTCTAACGAGGAAAAGAACTCTGCACCCTTTAAACTATCCAAAGCATCGTCAATGCGCGGTAGTGGTTAGACGTCCTTCAGCGTGATCTTGTTCAATCGCCGGAAATCAACACAGAAACGAATAGAACCGTCTTTCTTTTTGACGAGGACCACCGGAGACGCCCATGGGCTCTGTGAATGGCGCCTCTGCGAAGCATGTCGTTTACTTGGTCAGCAATGACGCAGCGTTCTGTAGCGGACACGCGATATAGTCGTTGTCGCAGCGGTGAGTGGGACCCAGTGTCGATGTGGTGTTCTACTGCTAAGGCACGGCCGAGAGATGTTTGTGCAACGTTGAAAGAATGGCGGTAGCACTCGAGGATCGTGAGGAGTTGTGAACGCTGCGAAGAGGTCAAATCTTCAGCGATGAATGGTTGAAATATGTTTGCTGACGTTGAGTCAGCCGCTGAGACGACAGCCAGTTCACAGACGGAGGTAGAAGGCACCTCATCGGAACGGATATAATTCTGGTAGAACTGAATGTCTCGAAGTGGCCAAGGCACTTGTGACAAAGTAGGGATAAAGACGACGACTCATGATTATAAATTGGCATTGTGGTTGAGCCTTTTACAAGGTCGAGAGCAGCAAAAGGCAGGGGGAGGGCTCTTCGGGCGACGAATATTAAAGATGGTGTGAAGAAGACCGTGCTGTCGGATATGGCGCTGCATGAAACTGGTACGAACGCAAAAGAGCATGAAGGGATGTAGGTGTCATCGTTAACGACAAGTTTAGCGGCAGACTGGGTGTCGACGGACGCTCGGTCATCCAGTGAGCAAAATTCTACCTCAGCCCTAGCACAGTCGATTACGGCGTTATGACGCGACAAAAAGTCCCATCCCAAGATAATAGTATGGGAGCACGATAAAAGAACCATGAACTCTACGGTATATAAAACGTCCTGAATTGTCACGCGGGCTGTACATACTGCGGTCGGTTGAACAAGTAGAGCACTGGCTGTGCGAAGCGATAATCTAAAGAAAGGCGTCGTAACCTTACGAATTGAGCGGCAAAATCCAGCATCGATAACAGAAACAGCTGCACCGGTATCTACAAGAGCGACAGTAGGGATATTTTCAACGAACACATCAATAACATTGGTAGGTGACAAATGAGGACTCGGGAAAACCGAAACTTGTGCAGTTCTTGCCTCGGGAACTGCGTCGTTTAGTTTTCCTCCTCGTTAGACGCGGGCCGTCGACGCATAGGAGAAGGCGAGCGGCAGCGTGGAGAGGGCGAGCGACTACGTCCCGGCCGAGGGCGGTGGTCGTCCTGGTAGCGGGCTGGCATTGGAGTGGAGGAAGCGTATTGCGCGTTGGAATCAAGCGGGAAGAAAGGCTCACGGCGGTTTTCATCGATGATATGCGTCCGGCGGCGGCAATACCTTGCGCCGTGTCCGGGGTATCGACAAGCGTAACATATCGGGCGATTGTCAAGGGTGCGCCACGGGTTGGCGGTGTTTGTGCTGGTCCGGTGAACTGGAGGTGGCGGATAGCTCGCGCGAGGCTGGAATGTAGGCGCAGGCGCCTTGCGAGTTGGCATGGCTGCAGCTGCGGCGTAGGTGAAAGGAGCAGCCACAACATTATGCTCGCGAGCAGCTGGTAAGGTCTCGGCGACCTCTCCTTGAATTACGCCTCAAAGAGACGTCGTTAACAGTGGTCGGGCTTTTCGCCAAGAGCATTTGAAAAGCGTCGTCGTCAATCCCTTTGAGGATGTGCTTACATTTTTCTCCTTCCGTCATTGCGGCGTTCACGCGTCTGCACAAATCGACGTCTTCTATGTAACTAGTCAAGGTTTCACCCGTTTCTTGTGGGCGTGTACGTAAACGCTGCTCGGCGCGAAGTTTTCGGACGGCAGGTCAATGGAAGACTGCTACAATCGACGCTTTAAATTGCGGCCACGTTCGGACGTCTGCCTCATGGTTTCTAAGCCAAAGGCTGGCTACACCCGCGAGATAGAACGACACGCGTGTCAACTTGTCTGCGTCCGTCCATCTGTTTAAAGTGCTCACCCGTTCGAAAGTCGAGAGCCAGTCTTCAACGTCGTTGTCATCTGTTCCCCTGAAGATTGGAGGTTCCCGCTGAGGAACACTGCCTGGACAGGTGGCCGGAGGAGATGGAAGCGTCTGCTGATCGGCATCCGGCATAGCAGAAGGTAGGCGTCGAGAACGGAGTTCCAGGATGGTAGCGGGAAGGTATAGGGCACAGTACCCAGCACGGCTCCACCAATTATAAAGGAGATTTATTGAGCAGAAAGGTTGATGGTTGGAAGGCTTGGAAGGCGATGCACCAGCCGCAATTCACGAGCTCGAGCCGCTGGCTCTGCGCCGAAGTACTTCCTCTTCTTTACAATATGTATTGACAGTTCAGGGCTGTTGTTGGCCCTTCATTCACATACATTAGATTGTGAAAAGGGCCATAGGACTCCAGAAACTCTTTAGACATTGCATTGGTTTAGACAATGCATTTGACACAGTAACCCAACTATTTGCAGTAGACTCGTGTGAATATTCGAATGCTTCAAACATTCGAACTCATTTCGATTCGAATTCAAGTTATTGAAAATTTCAAAGTACGCGAAATGAACGAATAGGTGTACATTAATTCACATTTAACCACCCTTTGAAGGTGGTTTCACTGCAATTGATGGGTGCTAAGCCGTGAAAGCACCTTTGTAGGTGTATCCCTATTGGTCGGCTTGTAATCACTTGTGCCCATAAAAGTGGTTTGAGTGCAGTAAAGGGGTGCCAAGATGTAAAAACATCTTTTCAGAGTAAATTCGCACTGCTGCAAAGCTTTACTTTAAAGGACTCCTGGCACCGGTTTCGGAAACTCAAGATGCTTGCATTGTTTGAGAGTCCTGTGTGCGGAGGCACTTCTGACCGATTATTAGTGACAAGCGTTGCTTGTAGGATATTTTAGGTAATTTGATTTTAAAGTGAGGTTGAGTGCTCATCCAAGTATTCTGGTCAAATTTGCATTTTCTGAAGTTTGATCTAGACAGGGGTCCCCCTGGGACTGAACGTCGCAGAGGTCAAGAAAGAATTGTCAACATTAAGGAACACTTCGGCGGGGCACGCAGAATAACCCCGTCTGGCACCCGGTGAGGACTATTGTTCGTCACCCCTCTCGTTCTTTCACCAGGCTGCTTCTCCCAAGGTGGCTTTAGATGCCAAGGAATGCTTTCCTTTTTTCTGAGGGGGACACGCTCGAAGCACCGACGTCGTTTCGTTTTCCGCCGCCCACAGATCCCCCTATTTGGAAAATGCATGTTCTATATCACCGAAGCTTGAGTGCATGTAGTCTCGGGAGCTTCCCCGCTGTGGGGCGCCAATTCCTTATGGCATTTAGGTGGCTGTTTCGAACTGATGCGACATTGTTCTGAATCAACAGTGCTAGCACTAACTATATGATTCCTTAGATCCTTAGAGCATTTACGATTCAATATCAGCATTACGAGACTCAAAGCTACAAATTACAGTAAAAAGTCACAAATAATACTTTCGCTGTCAGGGTTTCTTTAAGGTCAAATGAACATATTACCCTTAGATCGATTCACATTTTTTTAAAGTTTAAAAGCTTGTTATAACAGCTTATTAGCTCGAATTACAGTAAATTTTAAAATGTAACATATTTTACATGTTTTTCACAGGTTACCACTTGCACTTTGCCAAAAGTCATATCCTGCTACTGTTCAAAGTTGTTTTTACTTTCTTTGAACAAAAAACAGGCATTAGCACAAGCTTTATTTCAATTTTAGAAACATTTAGCAGGTTAGTTATGTCGTGGCAAACATGCCAGTTTTTATGTACATAATATGCAATACATGCAATTCGAAATCGTTCAACCAAAATCGCTATTCGCTTGAAGTTCACTTTGACCCTAAAATTCACTATTCCCACAAGCCTAGTTAGCAGTTTTGACCCAAAAATGGAAGTATAGGGTCTATTGTGCCTATATGGAAAAAGCACTGTACAAGAGTGTTTCAGTGTGAAATAAGCCCTAGAAGTCACCAGTTATTAACCCCGCCCACTGCCGGCGTACACCATTTTGCCATTGCGCATGTGACATCATGCGCCGCCTGCTTAGTCTTGTCTACCAAAGTTTGAGCCATTGCGTATTGTCTATTTTCAATGCCAAGCTGGAAAAAACACTGAAACAGCTAGACTTCACGTGCAGCCAACCACTGAACAAAATTGTTCACCGTAATGTACTAGGCGCTCGCACAGCGAGTAGCTTGTAGCGTCGTTGCTCGCGAGTGCAGCAGTGCTGCCCAACTCTTGGGCTGCTTGCATGCTTATAGAAGCATTCACTTATAAATTAAGCACGCTACGAAGTATGCTGAAATTCTGTCGGCTTTGTGAATGCACTTGGATGAACAGGCGTAACACAGATTATAGTCGAAAATTGAGCGTCGTGGCCTCTTTAATTTAGGACGAGATTTCGCAATGTCTACTTGAGAAACTTCACGATCATTTCGCCCGTAACAAGCTGGTGATTTCGGCAGAACAGTTTGTTCGCGACCAGAGTTCTTTCATTGCATGAGTTGCGAAACTCGCCACAGGCTCCACCCGTCAAAATTAGAAGACTACATTGGCCAAAATCGCAGAGGTCTATCAATTGTGTCATTTTTAGGCAAAAAAAAATGCTAACAAATGACATTTTTGTCTGTTCTGGTACTCAAGTCCACAAAGCATGCTGCATTGAAACGAGCAGTGTTTTTATGCTTATGGCTTACATTTTCCAGATGATACTGTGTCTATAAGCTCATCAAATTTGATTGAAAGCGCTTATTGCAACAACAAATTGCGCAATAACAACGAGGATTGTAACGACTGTGGTGATACTGTGCGTTTTCAGTCATCACCACCAGGTGGCATATCGGTTTGCATCATCGAGGCAGTCCTCAAGGCTGCCTTGACAATGGAATGGGAGGAGCGTTCAGGTACCCTGGAGACCTCCACATGTTTGACCATGAGTATGCCGGTGGTTTTAGATTTGAGCTTTACAACTAGTATGATTTAAGGGCAATTGCTGCAATGGCATAGTGCCCTGATTGCTTTCACGATGTACACTCCTTTTGTGTTCCAGTACGGTGCCCAGCTGCTTGAGGTCACTGAGCGCTATGCAGCCGAGAAGATGGTCATCGAGGCGGAGATGGCCGGACGCCGCTGCTAACGAAGCCCAGGACGACTTCCAGAATCCACAGCACCCGCCGGACTTTGCCACGACCCTAGTGCCTCGCCCGGCAAAACGCGCAAGCGCAAAACGTGGTCTTGACGTGGCGGTTCGCCAGGAAAGCGCCGTCGCACCTTCTACAAGAAAAGGCTGGGTTCGGTGCCAAGTCGCAGAACAAGGTTGGCCTGAAGCGAAAGACGGGCTGGAAAGAAGGCTGCTGGAAAGTCGAATGCCAAGACGGGAGGGAGGTTCGGCTGCGAGTTCGTCTTTCGGAGGCTCGTTGAGCGGGTTTGGTGCACATCGCCATGCCGAAGCGGCTTCATCGATCGCAAAAAAGCCGTTCGTTTCTCACTAAGGCCACGTGTCGTAGAGATATGAGTGCCCTTGGTCGCCACCATGTGAAACTGTCGGTGGAACACTATGGGGCCAAGCAAAGTGCCTCAACAGTGTGTGTTTGTAATATGGTGTCTTGCTGTTTATATAGCCACAATTATTGCCCAAATGTTTTACCAGTGTGTTTTGTTTTGTCATACGAGGATTAGTTGCTGCGGTGTAGATATAAGTGCACTGAAGGACAGGATTAAATAAACTGCTCGTACAATAGCAATTTTTCGTGTACTCAAAGCACATGATATATGGGCAAAGTCTTCATGACCATAACATCGAGGTTTTCTGAGTTTTTTAGTGCGAGATTAATCCTCAGTGACCAAAAGCTGCCACTGTTTTGTCATCTCAATAGACAATGCTGGAACTAACTGCCAATGTTGTTATAGCTTTAAGCGCATTCTGAAGGAACTTGGAAAAGATAGTGCTTAAGGTTTCTTAAGTATGTTTGATGTGGCGCAAAATTAATTTTGTGGCATAGAAAGAATAAAGCGAAAACTCGGTAAAATTGAAAGAAAGGGAACTGTTGACACTTCACACTCTCCTATTTCGTAACCCCTTTACTCACACAATGTTATTTTGTGCCATAGTCAACCGTGCGTAAGAAATTTTCATGTAGTTTAACGTTAACATTTTTTTATTGCGTTAGCTGCAGCATTACAGATGCAACCATGAAACAAACGCTCAAGCAATTTGATGCAGAGACATTATCGTGTCGACATATGGACTGTCCCACGCAGATCAAAAAGGAACTATGTTGAATACTTCTGGCGAAACGTCCTGGGCCTCCCAAATATCAAGTGTACTATGAAGTAACCATTCAAATGTATATTACTTAAATAACAGTCATCGTCAATTTAAAAATATTTATATTGCTACCACGCTGTGGGGCCATCTTGTAGCAAGCAATTTAAACACTTCTGAGCTCTGCCATGTTTAGGGCTAACAGTGTCAATATGAGCCGGTAACGTTCACAGTGCTGACAAATTGTCTATAATACTGTATCAGTTCTCAAAGGACTGTTATGCGTAGGTCTCGGTATGCCGGGTAACAAAGGCATGGAATTGCGAAACACTGAGGGTACCCTTGAAGTATGCTGTATAGTGGCATGGTGCCACTTTTCACATGGTTAGGATTCCTGTGGGACACAATTACATTCATCCATCTTTACGACATGAAGGCTTTGTGAGTGCTTAACCCTGCCAATTTCACCACATAGGTGTACCTTTGTTCTGCTGGTTTGTTTTGAAAACATGAACATTCAGGGGAATAGCACGAAAGGATTGTGGTATCAACATGCTCATTCAAATATAGCATTTCAAATTAACTAATGGAAACTATTTAATTTTACACTAAGCCTGGCATTTACACCAACCAATTAAGCAAGTAAGCTTGAGCTCCAAGTTAACTCCAGCTAGGAAGGCTCTCTTACAGGAATGTAACTTGGCAGTGTTCATGGCTTGAGGTGCTAATTGATGTTTTATGCGTGAAGTGTGTGCACAGTGCAAATTCTATAAAGGGCATTGATGAAAACAGTCCTCTTACAGGAATGAAGAGTGGGCATTCTGCTCGGAAGATCTAGCTGGTACTAAAATTTCTGGTTGGCACTGAGCGCAGTAACTTTTGCGGAATAATGGCGACATGTGACAACTGCTCATGGGAATGCAAGAAGTGCTGTGTAGCTGCTACATAACTGCTATAAATAAAATATAATTTTATAGGCTTTGCAGTGAAGTACTCAGAGATGTTCAAAGACGATTCTGTACACTGCTTTATTACCGACACATACAACATCGGGACACACACCAATGTCTTTTTCATTGTACAATCCAAGTGACGACCTATAATTAAAACCCTGGGTTTATAGTTATCAGGCATTATAGTTATCAGACATTGGCACGTTACTATGTGTTGTGTATATGTCATTCGTAAAATGAGCTGCCTGTTAATTACTACAGGGACACACACACAACACTGTTCCCATTCGCACAATTTAACAAGCATATGTTGCATTTAGTTCACAGGTGCGCACATGAAACTCCATACACATAACTAATCAGTCACACGATGTTTGGCAACTGTCTGCAGAGTCGAGAACGTCCGTCACGAACTCATGCAATATGTTATCATTCACGGACATCAGAAACCTGCTGAATTTGGTGTCACACAGCATGGTCAAGGGCACGACCTCCAGTACAGTCGAAGTGTCTCCGACTTCCACGGCTGTGATCATTGCAAAGTACTCGAGCAGTGCATCTGCGCAGTCAACGTCAACGTCTGAAAACTTCCATAGAGGCCACGTTCCGGGAACGTCCGAAAAAGTCACCGTCACGGTCTTGAAAAGACCAGCGAGGAGATAGAGGACACCAGCCGAGAATCGGCTCAAAGTCTCTCGAAGTCTGGACTGCGAGATGCGTCCCGAACTCTAGCTGGGAGACTGCATTTGCAATGTCTGTAGCCGACCTCATGTTGTCCCTACCGCATTCCACGAGGGAGGTGTTGGAGGTGTCCACCATCGCGGCTAGATCGTTAGTGGAGTCGATGGCGTCCGACAGGCCGAGCATGAGGGCCATGTCCAGCAAGGCTGACGAGCAGAACTTGATAGGCCTGGAAATTTCCCGTACTTGCGGCCTGTGCGGATCCAAGACGCACACGGAGCAACCCTGTCTGACAGCAGCTCTGTGGAAGGTTGGCTGTGGGAGATGTTTGCGAGCGGCACACCATCCAGCATCTTCCGCAGTTCTTCAGCGTGCTTCTTCCACCAGTTGCTGCAGCCATTGCGCTCGCTGAAGCTGGCCACATTCCAGCCCCGGCAGCGCAGCAGGAACGTGCTCGGGCCCTGCATCAGTGGCAGGGGCGGCTGCCCGACGTGCCTACACTCGTAACGCTTGATGTAGAGCGATGCCACCGTGTCCTTCACACTCTGCAATCTCAGACAGCTTGGTTGATCCATGTCGTTTTGGAACCACTGGATGTTCTCCCTGATGGTTCGCTCCTGAAGTTCCTTGAAGTACTGCGCGCACTCTTCTACCTGGCTCACAAAGTCTGCCGGGAGGTCTTCCACGCCAGAAACACAGAGGGCGCGCCTGTCGGCCACCAGATTGGTTAGGGCAGTTACATGGTCCGCCGTCAGCGCCTCCCCGCGAAAGGACTTGCAGACGACGTACACTTCCGAGTTGCCGGGCTTGCTGCACGCGGGCTTTTTAACGTGCACCTGCCGGAAGACGCAGTTGAGCAGGTACAGCAGCGACACTGACGACATCTCGAAGAAGGTGAACATCTTTAAGACGAGGTGACCGCCCTCGGCGAGCAGCTTGAGGGCCGCGACGACCTCGGCCGCATGCAGGGGCGCCACAGTCGCCTCCTGCTCGGCAGGGTCGTCCTGGCAGTCCACGCTGCCATCCGCGGTGACTAGATGGAAGCCGCCACCTGCGTCGCTCGACGACGTCTCGAGGAAGCGGTCTACCATAAACTCGGGCGACATCACATCTCCCGTTTGGTCTTGGCCGAAGTACCACCGGTCGAGCGTCGTGAAGATGAGCCGGTCGTCGGTGACGGTCGACTTGAAGTCGTTCCCCTCGTAGTACGGGTTGAGGGTGTTGGCGAACCAGGTCCAGTTGTCTTCGCCACCGCGGTCACACTCGTCCTCGGCGCACCCCGAGCGCAAGTAGTGCTGCAGGGCGAGGATGAAAGCGCCCGGAGCCTCGCACAGGTGGAACGACCGCAGAGGGACGGTGTCCGCGAGCTCGTAGTCGTGGAGGAGCTGGAAAAACTTGCACCACGCCTGCGTCAGCAGTTCGGGCGCGGCGCTCTGACGCACCCGGTTCATGACGTTCGCCGCCCGGTTGGTCCACGTCGTGTGACGGCGCCACGCTATGGGCTCCATGTCGTTCAGCAGGCTCTTGGTGGCGTTCAGCTCCGTCTTCATCTGCTGGAGCGCCGGCAGGCACCAGTCGGCGTCGGAGCAGATGCGGTTCGGGTCCGGCGGTCGCCATGCAGAGGAGGCTTTGAAGGTAAACTGGCGCCGAAACAGCTGCGAGGCCTCTTCGTACACGGACATTGTGTTATTGCGACTTTTCGCAGAGCGTTCGGAACGCGAATGCGACAGTTGTGGCTACATTGAAATCTTTGATAGCTTACCGAAATTACCTAGATGAAGGGCTGTCACTCGAGGCGGAAAAGCACGCCATGAATGCCATGAAAAACGTAAACAAGCCGAGTTGTAATTGATTCGGCCGAGCCATTTGAGGCTATGTTTGAACCAGAGGCTAAACAGAGTGTATCTTTAATGTAAATGCTGCTCGACAAAGTCAACAAGTTAATACAAGTTTATTGCCGAAACATAGAAGTTTTTTTTCAACAACCGTAGAGAGCGAATACTGCAATGCGTCTTCCGATATGCCGCTTAGTTTAGCGCGGGAGACTAAACCTGCGCTCGCCATTCGGGCTTTTGTATTTGTCTTATTTGCGCTAATTTGAGGCACTTCCACTGGTACGCTGAATGATTTCAAGAGGAATAAGATAATTAGAATACTTTGCGGCGAATATACAGGCAACAGTAAAGGCAATGTGAGCTTAAAACAAGACAGAGTTGTAGCGGTTGCATGGTCCTTGTTACTGCAGTGGTAGTAGGGACACAATGAAAGAGGTCACTAAGGATATCTATGAAAGATCGTGATTCTACCTGTATAAAAAAATGGAATGAAAGCACCAAAATGAAATTTACGTAACGTTATTCTAGCTGAACTGTATGAAGCATGCCAAAATAACGCGGAAGTAGAACGTCTATAAAATATCCACGCATCTTCATTAAGTGCATAATGACGAGTGTGCGAAGCAAGGTCCTTAATTTCCACGTTTATGTCACCGACTAGTATAAAGGACGGGGACAGATGCACGGGACGTACAGACGGACAATTGCAGGCGAGAATGCATTTTGCTGTCATATATCTTGATTGGCGTACACGTAACGGTCGGTTTTTACACTGATGTTCTCGTTTTTTCGATTGTGCAGGTGTTCAGATTTCGGTTTGTGTAGTCTGGGCGGATGCCGACCAAGGCTATGCCCTTAAGAGCTTCGCCCCAATGAACAGGTAAATATGGACAAACCGGCTGGGCTGCGTAGTCAGAAACTTTTTTCTCGTGGGGGGGGGGGGGGGGGGGGGGGGTGGGGGGGTGGGGGGGGGGGGGCACACCTTTTTGCATTTGCAGGGGAGGGCACCACCTCAATGGAGGTAATTTTCGTTCTTTATAGCCATGGCGGAAAAAAATTTCAGGGGGGGTGCAAGAGGGCTTGGTGTGCCACCCCCTGGACTACGTCCTCGGACGAACGATACTATAGATGGTCGTCGGTAGGATATTTCCTGCGGCGGGGAGGGGGGGGGGGCACTGATGTATCTTGGGTGAAGGAGGGGGGCAAGTGCTGGTCAGACTTGGAGGAAAACAAGTAGTCCATTTGCGCACCCCCCCCCCCCCCCCGCCCGCCGATGCCCATGTACAGAAGTTCGTCTCGTCTTAGTTTACGCGCGGAGCACAGCAAACCACAGTGTAATTATACATGTGATACAACCAAGGAGGATTTTAAAAATTGCTGGAGTAGAAATGACTGCCCAGGAGTGAAGCCGTTCCACTGGCAAGATGGCGGCTGTGGTGCCATCTTACTAGGGGCATGATAAATAATCACCGCTCAGCGAATAAAAACGAAGCGTTTCCCTCGCATCCCAACAAGTTAATGTGGGAACTTTTTCTGCTCACATAGTGCTCCAAGTGCGTCTTACAGTAACTAGTTGTCCTTAGTGAGCCTCTAATTGGAGGCAAAGTTATTTGAAGATTCAGTCATCTATACTCGTTTCTGTGTGTTATTTCGTCGGGAACAACTATTTTTTAACATAGAACTAACGTTGCATTTACATAACATATCAAAGCCACTTGATCTTTAAGTGGGCACCATCAGAAAAGAGCATGTTTCCCGCCGTCTTGGCAGTGGCATAAGATGGCTTCACTTCGCTGGCAAGGCATTGCTGGAACTTCCACTCCAGCTATTTTTCTTTAATCTTCCTTGGATACAACCCACATGCCTTAAAACAGCTGACATCCGGAGTAGTTCGAGTGGCACGTCTTCTTCGCCGGCCGGCAGCGCGAACGAACGCGTAATAAATAAAAAATCGGAGCACACCAACTGCGTAAGAACACAACTCGTTTCAGTGACACTTGTTAGCGAAAAGCGCACACGTTTTCTGGGTAATTTCTATGGCGTATTGCACAACAAGCTTCACCGGCGTATTGCAAAACTAGCGTTGTGCTTACGTGTATGCGTGCCGCCATCTTGCATATAAACAAAAAAGACCGGAAGTACGTTTAGATTACGTGATTGTCTTCAGCCAATAGCGGCGCCGCATTTTCCCCATACATCTCCTGGGATATGAGCGGGAAACACGCGTACAGGCAGCAGCGAACACAACCAAGAAGTGTTTTGAAGACTACTAGTGGGCAATATGCCAAAAGTCTCTCGAAGGGTCTCAATCTTGTCTCATAGCCACTGCAGTCATTTAAGGAAACTAAACATGGTCGCAGAAAGATTGAGACCCTAGGTTGAACTTAACCTTCTGGGAAAATTGAAGCGCATTAAGGTGACACGAAACAAGCTAAACATGTGTTAATTGAAATGAAAATCGCATGTGAACATTTAGCTGCCATTCGTACACCGAAGCGGAAACCGGCAGTAATTAATGTGATATTTTGTGTTCATAGAAAAATAACGAGCCAATGCAGTACAAATTGTAAGCTGGTGCGACATTGGAATGCTTAACTCTGGCATATACTTTCGTTTTCCCAGTCTAACTGCTAGATCGGTCAGTGTTTTTTTCTACTTGATACTTCACGTGGATTTAATTATTGCGCGTTCATTTTTTTTTTTGTCATTTGCATTTATCTGGCCTCCGCTGCCGATGTCAGCTTGTCTTAATGTTTCTCACATTTAAGTTCCTGATGGCAGTTTACCTTATTTTAGCAAGATAATTGACACATGGGCAGTTGGCTGAGATGCATGGTATATGCTATTATTTAAGCGCACAAAGAAAGATACACAGGACACAGTCCTGTGTTTCCTTTGTGTATTGTGGCTTTTTCCACAAGCATGTCTGCTCCGCTGTGTCAGAATACAAACTAAAACACAAGGATTATCTCGATAGTTAATTTTTATTTCATCGTTGTCTTGGTTGCAAATGCGTCAATAAATTTATCTAATCACATTTGATAGTACGACCTTTTCTGCTTTCCGTTTATTCGATGTTTTATTTCGTCCGAGTGTTTTTTTAGACTGATATGGTCTTTTATCTTAAACATCCTGCCACACACAGAGTTCCTCACTCTGTGCTGCCACCTTGGTTCTTGGAGTATCGGAATTCGGTCGTGATAAGTTCAAACTTTTTAGATTCACTCCATTGAGGTTTTCATGGAAATTTTAGGTGCTGATGGTTTTCCGTTTAGTAATTATTTCCATAATATCCGTATAAATCGCTCATTTTTTATATCTGACCGATGCTATGTATTCGATATCCGGGAGTACACCGAAATGTTTGGTTCATCAATCGAAGCTAGGGCTATAAAATCGGCCAGTTCATATAACTGTGTCCCACTGTCACCCAGGACCCATAAAAAAATTCAGGAGTTTCAGTTGCGGCAGTGCCAAATCGCGCCAAGATCAATTGGGCTCGCGATAATTCTGAAGCTGTAAGAGCCGTGCGCACTCCGAAAGAGAATCTGTTGCGATGATTGCACATGATTTTGTTTAAAGGCAGTATTCGAAGCGCCAAAATAAGAGCCATGAGCTCAGCCTCAAAAACAGGAGTGAAATTTGGCGTCCTCCTCAATTTTGCGCACGCCTGTGGTCACCGCCATCATCACCACCGTCGGCGAGTGGCCCATTTGACTCGAGATCTCCGTGGGAGCCTTGGCTGATATGTTAACACAACAGCTGACACAGATATGGTACAGTTTCTGTGCAAAATCGGGACTCGCAGGCTCTGTTTATTTCAAGGAGTACAGAGGAGGAAATCAGACAGTCAATCATAGATCTATCTCTCCGAAAGCAGGACCTTCGGAAAATAGAGTTCAGGCTGAGCCAGAACCTGTGACAGATGATTCAGGAGACATTACAGATATGACAGAGAATCTCTAAGAACATTGAAACGTAACAGATCTCCCTCTTCTAAAAAGTCTTCTCAGGACCCAAAATCCAAGAAATACTTGTCAGAGAAAGACTTCTGTGAGAACCTTTCAAAAAATGATTCTGAAAAAAGATATTCTGGATCAGGCAGTTTCTTCTGCCAGTATAACATCAAAATAGGTTCCCTAGAATTCTGCAGTGGAAGTGCGGTCTATTTGGTCGGCAACTACAGATTTACAATTATTTCTTCGCTAATTTCTCCCGACATAATTGCCATTCAGGGAAACCTGGCTTGCTAACGGTAAAAAATTTTACATTAAAAATTATCGATTAATCCGGCTGGATTGGCCGAGTAGAGGTGGCGGTCTGGCTTTCTTAATATCAACTAAATTTAGTACAGAGCCAAGATATCGTACAGTGTATGGATACGAATTACGAAATTCTGGTGTTAGACGTAACACTACCAGACTGCTCGCCTTTGCTCTTTTGCAAATGTATACTTTCCTGCAGGAGTTCAAGACACAAGATGCCTCGATATTATGGTAGCTTCATGCAGAAAAGAAATAGTACTGTGGTGGTGATTTCACTTCACACCATGTGTCTTGGGGCTTCAAATCTGCTGTATGCGGAAGACGTTTGTGAGAATAGACGCTTGATAATGACGTTTCCTGCTTGAACTCACACGTTGCTACATTTGTAAGAGTAACTCTAAATCGACTTTGATTTAACATTTTCCAGCTCCACTTTAAGCATATCCTCGTGGAATATATAGATTGTGCTACAAACAGCGACCACCTTCCCATTACGTTTGAAACTAAGTTCCCGAGGTTCAGTTTGGCAGGGAAAGTTGGATCATTCGTAAATTATGCTAAATTACAAAAAGACTTAAAATCTACGTTAACTTTTCACGAGAAAATGCAGGAAGACCTTAGGGCTATGTATCTATGTGCGGTGTTGAAACGATCATTAAAGAATTTCACGTTTACTGTAAACTCGAACACAGCGGGATCTCTTAGCCCGTGGTGGAATCTAG